AGAGACCCACCTCGGCTTCCCGCGCCGCCTCCAAGGCCTCGGCAGCCAGGGTCTCCAGGCGCCGCCGCGCCTCGCTCTCCTCCCGCCCGATCCGCTCCTCGGTCTCCAGGCTGGCGGCGATGTCCGCCTCCAGCTCGGCGTCCAGCACGCTGACCTGGCGGTCGGGGTGCAGCTCCCGTACACGCAGCAGGTGCTGCCCCACCCGCACCCAGTCGCCCTCGGTCAGCGTGGCCCGCGCGCCCAGCGCCGCCTCCAGCGCCTCGCGCATGCCTGGCCCCACCTCGGCCTGGAAGGCCGCCGCCCGCGGCTGCAGCACCACGCGCTCGCCGCGCGGCAGGAGGCGATACCGCACCTCCACGGAGGCCGGCGGGGACGTCCTGGCGGCGCAGCCGCCAGCGTCGCCGCCGCCATCATCGCCGCCCCACTCCCCGTCGGGGCCCCACAGCGCCAGCGCCACGGCGGGGGGCAGGGCCGCCTGCCCCTCCGCCGCCGTGAACTCCAGAAGGCCTGCGTGGGTGTGGGCGCCGGTGGCTGGGCACACCAGTTCAAAGTGCATGGCGCCGTTGCGCGGCGCGCCTTGGTCCATGAGCAGGCGTCCCGCCGAGGCGGGGAGCAGGATCTTGTCCGCCGCGCGCCGGAGGCCCTTCCCCGCCGCCACGGCGTCGGGGAGGGGGACGGCGGCGAGCCGCGCTCGCCAGGTGACGCCGCGGTTCCGCTCCAGCTCCGCCGCCAGGTGGTCCCGCTCCTGTGAGATGAGTCTCGGGGGTGTGGGGGGAATGAGGGGGGTCTCCAAGGGATGAGACGATGGAGGGTGGTTGGTGCCCTGCAAAGGACATACAGCCGACCCCGAGTGGGGAGCAGTCTGTCACGACAGGGAGGCCTGCCCGCATCGCGACACTGCAGCCCCAGCACTTAAACACCCCCCACCCACCCCCCCCGCCCATGCGTAGAAACATCCACAAAGGCACGAAAGTCGCCCTGTACAGTAAAATAGACGACGAAACTCACCGCCTGCTCCGCTGCAGCCTGCTCCAGGCGGCGCTCGCGCTGGGCCTGCTCCAGGGCAGCAGCCCGGGCAGCAGCTCGCTCCTTCTGCTGGCGTTCCACCTCGGCTCTTCGCCGAGTCTTCTCATCAAAGGCTTTACCCCTCTGCTCCAACCGCTTCTGGCTTGCTAGGAAATCAAAAGACATCGCCGACCCAGCCTGGCCACCGCGTCTTCTCGAGTGTCCAGATGCCACTGGCAGGACCAGGCGCAGAGTCGCCGCGTCCGAGATCACGAGTTCCTACAGAACTTAAATTGATAAGAGTTACATGTGACTCTCGGCAAAACCTTCAAACTCTGCAAAGCTTCAGACTGATCACCACGTATGTGATCTGAAGACTCAGCGCCCAGCCAATCGATCCAAATTGCGCGCCGAGCTGCATGCCGATCCTACTCCACGGAATACACGCAACACGCCCTAGGACAACGATTACACGGAAGTCAGGGGTACAAATAAATACGTAAGCACCGATTCAGGCCGCAATTCATCTCAGAGGGACCCAGTGTCGGGCTTGCATACTCGTTGCTGACCCAACCCCTTGCGGCGCAGTGTGGACATCATCAAGTGAAACACTTGCATAGGCCGGTGTCGTCTCGAGATGGAGACAACACGTATCACGCCCTCCATTCTTGCTGCTGCCAGCATCCTCGTCCTTCCGTTTGTCCTTCCACGCCTTTTCCTGCTGGCGACAGTTGTGGTTGGAGCTGGCATTGCATGGCTGCTGAATTCGCCGCCCCCTGCTCGGCCCAGGGCATTCCAGGTGTGTCAAGGGGTATATTTATGGTGCGTGTACCTTCTCAATACACAGAAAAGCATGGCTGTCATTTGCAGTGTCTGTGGGGATTGGGCTGTATCCGCTCAGAAGTCAGACCCAACACCTCACCAAACGAGCTCGCCAATATTGCCCTCCCAGGAGGCCACACAAGCTGGCGCAGCGCACACAACGCCCAAATCTAAGCTTGTGGCGAGAGCTGTAGCACCGACCAAGCTGAGTGATGCACAGGGCCAGACAGACGACAACTTCGAGCAGCGTGGCACACAGCTTGATGCCACACCCCTAGATCAGAATGCGGCAGCCGGTGGGGGTGGAACACAGCCGACCACCGCACAGCCTGCCAGTGTCAAAGATAGCGCTGGGCATGGCCCCGGGCCGGGCTCCCCGGAGCCCGAGTCTGACACGTCATCAACGCCGGCGCCCTCCCCAGCAGCAGCGCCCCAACCTCCAGATCAGGCATCGCGGGACACCACAGCCAGCCCAGCTGGGCCCGCGCCGTCCAAGCTTGACGGGGGCGGGGCAGCCCCAAAGGCGGCAGCTCCGCCAGCTGCAGCGGGTGGCGCGGCCATCTTGGCCCGCCTGCGAGCGCAGAGGGCAGGCGGCAGGGGTGGTGGCGCTGCAGGGGCGGCGGCGGGAGGGGGAGTCTCTGCTCCGAAGCCCGTCACCGTCCTGTACGGCAGCCAGACGGGGACCGCCCAGGAAATCGCACAGAACATTGGTGGCCGGGCTCGGGAGCTGGGCCTTGTTGCAAAGGTGGGCGACTATCTGCTTGTGTGGGTGCTGGTAGGATGTTGGAAAAGGGTATGTTGCAGGGGACCGGGAGGCTCAGGTCGCGGAAGGTGCCAGACCTAGCTCTGCTCAATGGGCATCTGAAGGGACGGCACTGCTCCCAAGCCAGGGCAAAGAAAGAGAGCCTCCTTGACTACGCCTCCAACAATGCATGTCAAGATCCCCTTGTAAGACACAGGCCCACCTCCTTTATCACACACAGGTGGCGGCGCTGGACGAGTTTGGTCTGGACGCCCTCACGCCAGCAACCGTGCCCGTCCTCGTCCTCGTCTCATCCTCCACCGGCGATGGCGACCCCCCTGACAATGCTGCCCGCTTCTATGGCCAGATCAAGAAGCGCGGGCAGCAACCCGACCGCCTCAAGGTCGGTGTGCAAGCGTGGGGGAGGCAGGATCACGTGTGATCATGGAGCATGCAGTCCCAGGGCCAGAGGAGCCATGGGTCGCTGACACTTGCTCTTGCTCTGCTTGAAGCGTCCGTCGAGACGTAAGCAGGGTTCCTGTGCTGATGAATTCAATAACTGTCATCCCAATGCCGCCCCTCCAGGGCATGACCTTCACGGTGCTGGGCCTGGGCGACTCCAACTACACCCAGTTCTGCCGCGTGCCGCGCGCGCTGCGGTCCCAGGTCCTGGCCCTGGGGGCGGGGGAGTTTCATCCCGGCAAGGACGCGGACGAGGTGGATGGGCTGGAGGATGTCGTGGAGGCATGGCTGGACCAGATGCTGCCGGCGCTGAAGCGCGCATGCCTGCCCACAGTCGCCGCAGAGGTGGGGCCGTGCGCTCCTTGTATGGGGGCTATGGGTCGGGGATGTGGACGCGGGTAGAGAGGGGCAGCTGATGCAGGGATGGCACTCGTTTGTGCCATGTTGGTCCCTCTTTGGGCCAGGGTGCACCCGATCAGCGACATTTTGCCCCTAGAACTGCCCTCCTGTTCAATGAATGCTCCTGCCTTGCATTGCACAGCTCGTACATGCCTCACACTCCTGCTCGCCCCACGTCCTCATCCTGTCTTCACCCAAACGCAGGCGGCGTCAGAGGGGCTCAAGGAGCCGGTACCCCCCGAGCACGCCGCCAGCACCAAGCCGGTGCCCCTGCCCGAGTGCCGCATCGAGGTGGAGTGGCTGACTGACCGCAGTGCCACGCAGGCCGTGCTCGACAAGGTGACATATCCTTGGTTGGAAGCAGTGCTTGTTGTGACAGGGCATCGCTGTAGTGGAAACTCGACCGCCCCCCCGGGCCTGGGCCCCTCACCCCAATCCAGCTCTCTGCCTGCCTTGTCATGCAACAGGAAGCCGCTGGGGCCACGGCAGAGGAGGTGGGCCACCGCGACCCAGAGGGACTCTACTCCCCGGAGCAGCCCTTCCACGCCCCGCTCATCGCGGCGCGGTGGCTCACCACGAGCGCCGCTGGTGACAGGAGGGTCCTGCACTGCGAGCTGGGGGTGGAGGGGTCGGGTGCCAGGACCCACCCCGGCGACTCGCTGGGCGTCAAGCCGGCCAACCCCCCCGCGCTGGTCTCTGCGCTGGCAGCCCGGCTGGGCCTGGAGGCGTCGGCGGTGTTCGACGTTCGGCCCAGGCCGGGAGTTGCGACGCAGCACCTCCTCCCCCACCTGCACACGCCGTGCTCCATCGGCCATGCCCTCACGGTGGGCTGTGCAGCTGGGATGGGAAGCTGTTGAGTTGCTAATTCGTGTCGCCTCATGGTGGGTGACAACAAGGTAGCCAGGTCTCCCACTGGAGAGTCCCCTTCACACGGTCAACCCTCTTTTTGCAATGCCTCCACAGGAGTCTGTGGACATCGCAGCCCCGCCGCGCAAGTCGCTGCTGCGGCTGCTGGCGGAGCACTGCGCTGGTGAGGAGGCCCGGCAGACCCTGCTGCGCTGGACGTCTCGAGCCGGTCGCGACGAGTATGCCAAGGTGACCCCCCGAGGCAGGGATGCGGGGTGGATGGAGCGCCCGGCCCGGCACCCACATGCTCGTGCTCCACCCTCGTAAACAAGTGCATGCCTGGCAGTTAAGCCTGCACTTCAACAGCATTCCCCACCCCCTCCCCCAGGAGGTTCTGGAGGGGCGGCCCTCGCTGCTGGACCTGCTGACGCGGTTCGACTCCCGCCCTCCCCTTGCGCCATTGCTGGATGCGCTGCCGGCCCTGGTCCCACGCCTCTACTCCATCGCCAATGCGGCGGTTGCGCAGCCCGGCAAGGTGAGACGAAGCAGAGGGCTGCAAGGGCAAGGAATCTTGGACTGGTGGGTGGCAGGCATATGTGTTGTGGCTTCCTTGGCTGTCCATCTTGGATCAGCATCCCCTGTCCCCCCCCTTCACCAATGCCCGCAGGTTGCCATGGCCCTCTCGATCGTGCGGTTCACCAAGGCGTGCGGCACGGAGCATGAGGGCGTGGCTACTACCTGGCTGGAAAGGACGGCGGCTCCCCTGTTGCAGGGCAGTTGGAAAGGCACGGAGGGCCCCACACCCGCCGTCCCACGCATCCCCATCTACTTCCGCAGGTGCGTGGTGAGGCTGCTCTCCCTCGTGGCAGGGCGCGGTGGCCTGATGGGAAGCACATGGCAGCTGACTGCACTTCTCTGGATGTGTCAATGCATCCTCCTACTGAAGTCCCTCCTCACCTCCCCTGTCTCGGTAGTGGAGGGGCGTTCCGCCCTCCTGCATCGCTGGAAGCGCCGGTCATCATGCTGGGTCCCGGCACCGGGGTCGCACCCTTCATGTAGGAGGAGGGGATGGGGGTGTATCTGGCCATGGGAAGCAGGTACCTGGGCAGGGTACTGCCGCAGAGCATCAAAACCCCTTGGATAAGGCTTGGTGCATATTCATCACCATACCAATTTCACCATGGCTGAATGCTCTCCATGTACCCCCTCCCAAACAACCTCCAGCGGGTTCCTACAAGACAGGAGACACCGGCTGGCGGCTGCTGCCCCCGGGTTCGAGGCAGGCCCATCCTGGCTCTTCTTTGGGTGCCGCCACCCAGACCAGGATTACCTCTACAAGCAGGAGCTGGAGGTACGGTAGGGTGGCCAGACGGAGACGCAGGGGTAATCCTGCTCCGGTCTGCGCCCTGAAATCGCCCGTCAGGTCGCCCTGTGCCTGGCAAATTGCACACCCTCCCCCACCCCCCCTTCCCCCAGGAGTTTGAGGCCGATGGCACCCTCTCCCGGCTCAGCGTGGCCTTCTCGCGCCAACAGGCACGCAAGGTGTACGTCCAGCACCTGGTGGAGAGGCACGCCCACGAGCTAGCCGCCCTGCTGGCGCATCCGGCGGCCTCGATCTTCGTCTGCGGCGACGGCGCGAGCATGGCCACCGGGGTCAACGAGGCCCTGGCCCGCGTGCTGACTGGGCCGGGGGCCTTTGCATCGGGCGCGGACTGGAAGGCGGGTGCTGCGGCGCTGGCCGCCATGGCGCGGGAGGGGCGGTACGTGCGCGACATCTGGAGCTGAGCGAATCATGCTCTTGGGTTCCCGCACGGTGCGAAGCAGTTCCGAGCATCGGTGGAGACTCGTGCATTTGCGGTTGCTGGACAGCGACTCTCCCTCTCCTGGACATGCATCTGGAGCCTCGCTTGCAGCTGCACCCAGTGTACCGCATGGACAAGGCAAGCGCCACTGCCTCGCTGTCCCATGCTCGACAGCATGCTGTTGAGGTCGCAGAGCACTGCCCCCAGACTGCCGTCCCTGCTGGCACCTTGTCCGTGCCTCGTGCCCGGCAGCCCTACGTCCGTGGCTTGACATCCGCAACGGTGGCGGCCACAAACACCGAGTAGCGGTCCATCGCACACCCCAACCGCGCATCAAACTCGACGCAGCCCTCCAGCTCCTCGTCCGAGCCCGCCCCGAAGATGGACCGCGCGATTAGGGCGCGCGAGGCCTTTGTAGTGACCCGCCACCCCAGCTCGGCAAGGGCGGGCTCCAGGGGCGCCGGGAAGCCGTAGTGCCAGGTGCGAACCAGGTCCTGGGAGTAGGGGGGGTACTCTGTTATCGAGCCGTCCTGCACGCCGTCTACCAGCTCCTGTGTGACGTTGTGCGTCACCAGCCGGCTCCCAGGCGCAGAGTGCCCTGGAAAGGGGGGTGCCGGGGGATTATTGTTGGGAGGTCGGGTTTGGAACATTCCTTCTTCGGCAAAGGGTGGCAGGCCGTGCTGGTCCATGTCTGGCTCCAGCCCCTTGAGCTGCCGACGAGCAGCACTGGCAACAAGTTCCTGCCCGTTCCCCAGCTTCCCATCCCCTCCCTGTGCCCACGCTCCACCGCACCAGCTCACCCTGCATGGTGTGCAGCAGGCCGGTGCCGTCTCGTGGCTCCAGGTACATGAAGAGCCCCTCCACAATCCACAGGGTCGGCTGCCCAGGGTCAAACCCGCAGGCGGCCAGGGCCTGGACCCAGTCGGGTCCGGACAGGTCGGCGGTCAGCGCGCGCCAGCTGGCGACGTGCAAGGGGTGCTTGCGCGCCCCCTCGCCCGGCCCCGTGCCCTTTTGCGCGCCCAGGGCGTCCAGCGCCAGGTCCTTGGCAGAGACCATGGCTGGCAGGTCGACCTCGAACCAGAGCAGGCCTGCGGCAGGCAGTTCAGTGGGCTGGCTTTGTGGGTCACAGGAGGCGGGCACGCTATCTGGCTGGTGATGCCATGGGTGGTGCAAGGATGGGGCAGCCGTGCCGAGTCATGCATGGCTGCACCCCCCCAAACTCGTGCAGGAATCCCAAACAGCTACAGTATGGAGAATCCTTCCCACCCTCATGACTGCATGTTTGGATCCCCCCCCTTCAGCGAATGATCACAGGCCAGCCCTCGTGCAGCAAGCCGGCCAGCGCTCCTGCAGACTCCAGATCCCTCTTCCCACAACCCCCATCCTGCGTACCAGGAGGGAAATCGGAGCACCTCCAGGGGCGGGTGTCCATGCCGCTGCCCAGCACCACCACCTGGCGTGGTGCATTGGTTCCAGAAGAAAGCGCAGCCCTGATCTGCTCATCGAACCACCACACACGTGCCGTCACGTTGGAGAGGCAGAGCTTGCGGGCACGATGGGGCTTCCCGGGGCCGGCTGTGCCCGTGAACGGCTGCGATGAGAAGGAGTATCAGGGGTGTGAGAGTCGGCCATGGTAGACCCACCATCCCACAGGCGACTTGTGGGCATGGCTGGCTCCCTTTGGGCAGCCTGCCTTGCGTGCACTGACCGGCAAGCCCCTATGCCCTCCATCATGAGTACCTGTGCACATGCCCTAGCTGATGCCAGCGCCGATGGGCCTGCCAGCGCCACAGCGAATTCATCGTAGACCAGAGGCTCTGGCTCCTCAGCCTCCAAGGCCCTCCATGCTGCGGGGTGGCAAGGGAAACCCGACTCTCTGTCTCCGGGGCAACCAGGAGGCCAGTGCTACCAGTACGAGTGTTAAACCCGCATCCTGCAGACCCGGGAGACACGATGCAGGCACCCACCAGCGATGACCCTCGCGGAGTCAGATACAACGCTCAGGGGATCTTCTTCCGTCCCTGGGGCCGAGATCCAGCGGCGGAGTTTCCGCCCGATGGTGATGCCCAGGCCCAGGGCCAGGATGGAGGTGAGCGCGCGCTCCATTCTATGTCGTTCCTCTTACAAATGTGCCTCACTATGGATTGGTCCCGCAAAAGAGGTTTGATCGTGCCTGGGTATGTATCGTTCCTTCGCCGGAATCAGGCACGCCGAGACCCCGCGGTCCCGGACATCTTCGCCAGACCGGGGCACCGGGGAGGAAGGGGGGTGCTGAACAGGTGCCATACCTCAGGCCATACCATTCGCCCGCTGTCTGGTCAGGTGCGCGTCGATGGCGGCATGCAGGGCGATGCCCCTCTGCTCTGCGATGTCCAGCATGTCCTGTGTGGCAAGGGTGCTTGGGTCTTGGGAAGCAGTGTTCAGCCTGGACACCAACTGCCACTCGAAGTCCCTGGCAGCAATACTGCCCCCCACTCCCGCCCCCCGCCC